AATTCTGGAAATGGGTTACTGAAAGCTGCATAGTTCAGGGAATAGTGAAAGAAATGATTAAAGAGATAGAGGGATTAATTTAGTAGGAAAGATTAAAAATGGCTTAGCTTGCCCAAACAAGTGATGAAGAGTTGCAGCCTTCTACAGATATCTGAAAAGTAACCACCAAAAAAAATGATTAAACTGGCCAAAAAGGTAACAGGTAGAGGTAGTGGAATTTAGTTGGAGTAAAGGGAAGAGTTGGTATGGGGCATGACCCTCACAGAAATGCTAGGCCATGAGTTATTCACCTCCTGAAGAAAATGATTGAAATCCCATCATCTGTACAATTTAAAACTAAACCAGGCACATGAGAATATACTGCAGGAAAAAATGTGTATTAGCATAGAGGTGGACATGTGACCCAAAGAATTTCCTGTGTAATTTTGATTATTCTGTTGAAGCAGAGATGTCCTGAATCCATACAAACTTATCAGCTGCCAGTTTATAAACAAAGCCAGTTCAATTATGGTTCAGAGAGAGCAGAAGTTAGCCGCCTTAGCCTGAAGTCAGGCAGAAGAGAGAACAGATTTGCACCTTACAGGCTACATCAGAGATGTGTCACATAAAGCCTTGTAAGCTGCAGCTTACTTTATCAGATGGTGTGAAGGAACTTCAGGAAGCAAAGCTTCTAAATAGAAAGCAGTGACTGGAATACAGAGCTTACAAAGCTTATGGTATATTTCTCTGTTTTAATTAACCTGTTTGCCATACACTGAAAAGATGCTTATTTTGTTCAAAGAATCACAGAAAATTAGGGTTGGAAGGGACTTCAGGAGGTCATCTAGTCCAACCCCCTAAAGCAGAACCATTCCCCAACTAGATCATCCCAGCCAAGGCTTTGTCTACCCAGGGTCTTAAAAACCTCCAAGAATGGAGATTCCAAAACCTCTCTGGGTGACCTGTTCCACTGCTTTACTACCCACTACTGAGAAAGTTTTTCCTAATATCTAACCTAAACTTCCCTTGCTGCAACTTGAGATCACTGCTCCTTGTTCATGAAATGATCAGACTTGAGAGGTTGCCTGTTCATTTTTTCTTTATTCATTCTAGCTATTAAAATAAGCTAACAAGTATATTTTCTCATGAAAATTGTACAACTCTCAGCCTAAAAGAAAGCACTGCAAATACACGTTGGGGAGCCAGCACATTTACAAGATTCTAATCCCTACACAGGTGAAACTCACGATTTGAGGAACTGAAATAGTTTTTCTCGAATATGGACCTTCAGGATAGGGTTCCAACTATTTAATTATATCTACTCAAACACAAATGAGACGTTTGTAATTCTACGCTATGTTGTGCCATATACGAACCAACGGAAATAATTTCAATAAAGTGTGAAATAAAATTAAAATGGAATGCACATAATTTGTTCCATTACTACTATGTCATAATGAAACAAACTAGTGTTTAACACTAGTGTTTAGTCTGTAATATTTCTGTTCATTAAACAAAAGGAAAGCACTGAAATAAAAAAAGTACAAAAATAACTATAATATCTTGCTTTACTGTTGATGAGCAGAACTTTAATCCAATCCATATTCACAAAACTATTCTTTATACATGGACTAATGCTAAATATTCTATTACAGTGAAAAAAACAGGTTTTAATTATAGTAAGTTCAGAACTGAAGCCAAGGATTTATTTTTTCAGTACTTTAAGAGAAAAAACAAGCACACAGCTTCTATAGTCACATTTAGATTAAATGTATTTTTCAAAGAATTACATTATGTTATTTGGCACTGTTTTATTAAATCTCTTTCCCAAATCCCCTTTATACTGTATCAGCACCCCTTACCTCAACACACGGCATTCTTCCAGAAAAGTTAGCAGCAGTATAACCAAAGGTGACATTGGCTATAAGTTTCAGACCCAACTGACGTGCCTCAAGCATTCGCACTATAGCTCTGTCATGCTTGTGAGCCTTTATAGATTGCTTCACCATTATCCTAGTCTTCAAAATTTCTTCTAGCATTCTTGGCAGCACGCCCTTCCTTACTGAAGGCTGCCACAAAAGAAACAAAGAAAACACAATATTAAAACATCCAACCAAAACAAAGAGAAAGGATAACCAGAAAAGCAAGGATGAGTATCTAACCCTTGATAAGAATATAGAATAATGGTGAGGTGCCTGAGACACCAATGCATTAGTGGTTAAAAATACTCAAAGCCCACTGAAGAGGCATAGACTTAATTTTCTTCTTTTTGATTTGGCAATGAAGAATGTAATATTATGTACTTTTATATTTATTTAAAGGATTCGTTAACTGCAATAGGATAGGAATATTTATATTCACATGTTCAGAATTGCTTTTTAAATTTATATTCTTCATAGCATTTACTTTTAAGAGTACAGCGTTTATTTTACATTAAACAAATTGGTGATGGGGTAACAGCTTGTAACAGTTTGGTTCCACGTTCATTCATTAAACTAGTCAGCCAGCTGTACGCATGACAAGAATAGGCCCAAAACGGAACTCAAGGAGCTTAATCTCTAAAAACACAGACTTTTCCCTGAGGAAGTTCTTTAACAACTGAGTTTCAGAAAAACTGTTACATGTGGGCAATTACGTTTGATCCTAGCATGTGGTACAAGTATAGGCATAACTGTACTGTACAATCAGAAATATATTTTTAATTGCAGAGGAAATAAGCCTTCACTGAAACTAAAAAAGATGACAAATCAACATTTTTATTTTTGAACTATCAGAAGTCCAACTGTGTGATGTGTTGGCAAGTGCTACAAGATACATAAATAGACTGACATACAAAAAAATATTCTCTTTGCTTTTAAAGCTGCAACATATAAACTGCTATGTATCAATCCAAAAGGGTTTTAATCTTGTTAATCAATGAACTAACTGTGAAAAATGTCTATCACACAGGAGCATAATAATTACCTTGACAAAAGCCACTCCACTGGGTGATACTGTAATATCATGCCGGATTTGGTAAAGTAAATCAGGAGGTACTCTGAGAGAGGTGCAGCCGAATTTAAATTCATCATATCTAGTAAAGAATAACATTAAATAAGCAAACAGAAAACTATCAGTTCCTTTATATTCAACTAAACTGGAAATACTAGTCTGTATTAAAATGCTTATAAGTATTAACACAGATAATCTCAAAATTAGACACATTTTGCTGTAAACAAGCCTACAAGTTAAAGTTTCTTAACTACATGTGACATTCTCTAAAAGTGAAGCAGCAATGCATGGAAAAAATTCTATTTTGAAACTAATTTGTTGGCACACACGACCATTATACCCAAGGGCCAATTTCCCATATGCATGCAATTGCAGAAATTTCATGTTTACCAAATTGATCATCTTCCTCTAAATCACAGGTTTCAAACTCATTTGGCCTGGTGCGGTGGACCCAGATGGTGGGCCTTTCTGGCTGCAGCTGCCAATATTACTATGCCAGTGCCAGCAGTGAAGGAGTTAATGCCACCACTGCTCAACCCTATCACCATAGCTGCCAAAGCCACAACATCAGTGCAGGCAGTAGGTGCTTTTTTGTCACCAGTGGCCATCAAATACGCTAAATTCTGCTGCAGTCTCACCCCCTAGGTACTGGGCCACACTGATGCTCCAAGTCCAGTTGCCATGGCAAAGGGGTTGAATTGGGGCAACATTAATTTCTTGTCTGCTGGGAGCTGTGGCAGGTTGCCAACTGTCTAAATTTACACAGTCCATAAAAGAAACCACACAGTGGTTAAAAAAGCCCTGCACACAGTACTGCACACAGCGCTGTAGCCCACGTGAGGATCCATAGACCCCTCCCCATCCTAAACATGTACTGCCACTGCATCCCATCAGCTGTCTCCTGCCTGTAATGGCTGCTTACTTAGCAGGTAGGTAGGGCTACCTGGCTTCAGGGGCTAAGTACAGACAGTCAAAAAGTCCAAGCCTGAATTGATTCAACCTTCACAAGTTAGTTTAAGCTGTGTAGTTTCAACCAATAAGCAAGTGAACAGACATTCACTTTTCATTTTGGAAATGCAGCCACATGCCTGCAGTGGCCCAGGCCAAAAGCTGGGGGGCACTAGAGCACTCTTCCCTGCTCGGCTGGAGCAAATAGCTTGGGCCAAGACTAGCCTGCCCACCCTGCATGGGGGGGTGGGGAGGAGGTTATGAGGGAGGTGCAAATCATCTTGGGATGCTAGGGGACAGAGTTAACTTGAATCTGGAGAAGATCTGGAGCTTCAGGGCTGGGTTGGGGGAGGTCTGTGCCAGTGAAGGTCAGATTTGGGGGGAGGGATGATAGGCTTGGGTGGGAACAGCATGGTGTGGGGCAGCATGATGTAAAGCCCTTGCTACAGTCAAGTAAGACTCTTAAAAACTGGTGTTAAACACCTAAATCTGAACCCTGCCCTTGTTATTGCTGTCCAGAGTCTGGCACAAGGGTTATGTTTATATTATGTAAAACATGTCAGTAAAAACAATTTCAGTAAAAAGTTTGATTGTCAATAAAAAGTTCGCAGAATGTCTGGAAAAAATAATTTCTTGAATTGGCAACCATGAGCTGTGGCAAAAAGCCTCATGGGCCAGATGATTCACCGACACTGACATTCCTGCTTTAAGCCATTTAATAATTTCAAATCATAACACTTAAGAAACTTTATACTAATGCCCAGTCGCCATTTAAAATATCTTCCAACTCTTCCAAATATTGTTCCATAAAGGTAACTTCAACTAAAATAAGCAGCAGGTTTTGCTTCTTTAAAATTAAAAAAATCATCATTATACTTTAGAGGTCAATCTGCTCTTTCAGTTTAGAATAATTAAAGGAACAGGAAATAATAGTTCTTAAATTAAAAATCTATATATAGGCATATAAAGGGGGAGTATTACTTCAGATTGAAAGAGTCCCAATTGGTTTATATATCACATTTTTAAAAATAGAAACCTTAATGTTAACAGAACAGATTATGGTCAGAAGCACGCATACAACATGTTATGACAAAACATGGAGAAAATATTAGCTAGAATGTGTCTTGATCTCTGATTCAGTCACATTCAACGTCCAAATTTCTGAGAATACTAGTTATAGCACAGAACTTGTAATTACAAATTGTTTAAAATTATTGCTGAAGCTTAGCACTGTTCCTTATTGCAACTCTTTGAGATGCTGCTATCTGCTCTCATTGGTAGTTGAGGGTTCTAAACATCTTATACAAGATTCTTGTAGGATCAAGGTTTATCTAAGAAAGAAACATTACTTACTTTCCTAAGTTCTCAACATGTCCCAGGCAGGTTGAAAAGCAGTAATTGTATGCTATCACTATAGAAGGATACAATGACTGGAAATCTAAAACAAGAACAGCATTGCTGTAGAAACGGGATTCTGGCTCCATGATTAGGGGAACACATTGTGGGGGCCTCATCTGAGCTCGCTGCTGGATACTGGGCGTCACAGCAATGTAATTCATTGGTTTAGCAATACGCAGCATCATTGACTCCACACGATACTGCAAAACAATGTTTAATATAACAATGTTTGTTAATATTTCTAAAGTGCAATATAGATCCTAGCTATATATCCATATACATGTGTATTTGGGATGCTCTACCTTTAAAACAGATAGCAAATTTTCCGACAGAATACAGCGAATATTTAAGATATACTTTTCCTTAATAAATTATAAGAATTGTTGCTTGTGTTTTAGCTTTAACTACTGAGAACTTTTCACTTTTGATTGTTCAGCTATTAACAGTGAAATGAGCATTTCAATCAATATATAATTTGCAGCAATATATGTGGCCATAGAGCTTTCAGCGAACAGATATCAACAAGGCTATCTCTGTGCTAGACTTATAGACAATGTCGCACAAACAAAACAACATAACGGCATATGATTCTCAATGTGACATTTTAATAGAGAACTAAGTAAAAAAAAAAAAATCCGCTGTAATTAATAGAATTTAGATGTATTGATGTGAGCTGACTACATTAAGAATTACACTCCACAATATGGTTTTACTGTTAAGAGTGAATAATAAATGCAGACTAATTTAGTACTTATGTAGCCCATTATCACTTCTCCAGGTTTCCACACCCAGAACCAGAGAAGACACCAAGAGATGAAGCAGTGCTGAAATCCACTCAAGAGGATCAATGGTAGAGCTGGGAATACAACCCAGGTCAGCTGCGTGTCTTGTAGGCTTGTTCCTATTCAGTGCATCACACAGCCTAATCCCTCTACTGTGAAAAGGACAGGCAAGAAAAAGCAAGGCAAAGTACTTTTATCTTGCCCAAACCAACACAGCGCCATCGCCAGTTGTTGAATGTCATAGACTGAAACAGATAATAATACTACAAAGAATCACCCTTAAAGGGTTTTTTAATTATTATTTCTATAGATGTAGATATAAATCTAGTAAAAATACTGTATTTTCCTGCATATAACACACAGCTTTCCCACCCTAAAAGTCAGCCCCCTCAAAATTGGGGCATGTTAAGCAGAGAAACTGACCAGGATAGAAGCACCCTGCTTTGATTTTTGTCCCATGGTGCAGCAGCTGTTGCATTACTACTCAGGCAGTTGAGGGAGACAATAGACTTAAATGGCTCGTTGTCACTTCAGAGAGGTTGGGGTTTTTGTTGTTGTTGTTGTTTTTTTTTTTTTAATAGTTTTGATGTTCCACTAACCAAGACAAATTTTATTTGGGCAATTTTGCTGTCTGCCAGCTGCTCCTGGTTTCTGCCCTCTTACACCACAGCCCTGGAAAATTTTTATCTCTTTTCAAAATCATAGCTCTATCTATGGAAGCCAGTCTTCAGCAGCACCTAGGGTTTCAACTAAACAGGAAAGGGAGAATGAGTTATTTCAAGATTAGGCTGTGTTCCTGCTCTATGCAGCCATAACTTGAGATTTTTTTTTCTCTTCTTCTTTCGGACTTTCAAAAATAAGGTGCATATTATATTATGGGTTGTGATATAAGCAAGACAAATACTGTACTACTACTTTAATATTCTTTTTCAAAATAAAAAAATCCTAGAACTCTGCACTCTTATAGCCCCTTCCAAAAGATCTCAGAGTATTTAAAAAAACAACAACAAAAAACAAAAACAAAAAACCCCCAGAAAATTAACATAAAGTATCTATTAGAGAGAAATAATATCCCTGGAAAGGAAACACTGGAACAGGCAAGGAATGTATAAGGAAGCAGGAATAGTACTTAAATCTTCTGAACTCTTATTTCCTGCTGTATAAACCATGATTGCCCTAAAAAGTATCCCTCTCCCAGAACAAAAATCTCCATATCAGTTTCATTAACTGAGGTTACATTCATTCCATTCATGATTAGAATACTTAGCCTATGAAACAAATAATTGGAAAAATAATTGTAGAAGTTTGCCTTGTTATGCCATTGTTACAGCAGCTTTTTATGTTAGTGTTTTTAAGGTTGCAAGCACTTTTAGCTCAAGCACTTATATACCAGGGGTGGGCTGAATCTGGCCCACCAGGCTGTTCTGTCCGGCCCACGGGGTCCCTAGAAAATTTTTAAAAATTAGTATTTACTTGCCTCTGGCTCCTGTCAAAAGTGACAGGAGCCAGGGCCCAGTGGAAGCCACAGCAGGCTCCTGGAAAAGCAGGGCCTGCCTTGCCCTGCCTCCACCAGCTGGAGGGACCATGAGGCTGTTCCCGCCTGTGCCAGAGCAAGAACCTCAAGTAAGAGGGCCAGGGGGCACGCTGGTCCCTGTTTGGCCACAGAGCTGGGAGCAAGGGGGTGCACGGGAGCCAGAGGGTCTCCATGCTGGGGCAGCCTGGCCTTGCTCCATGGAGCCCAGCCATCTGCGCCCCGGGCTCCTGCAACCCTGCTCTGGGCCCTGCTGGCACAGGCCCTGGGGCACTGCCTGGCTGTCGCTGGCTTCCAACTCCTCTGTTCAGCTCTGGGGGCAGCATGGGGGCCGCCTGGGGGTGGCATGACCCAGTGGGGACGTGGCCTGGGGAGGCAGCGTGGAACTTCCATCCCGTGCCTGAGGCTTGGGGTGGCAACAGCCTGGTTGCTCACCCCACAGGAAGCTACGGTGGGTGCTGCCACCCTGGGTGAAAGGCCCGGGCTCCCCTGCCCCTCAGGGGCCCAGTGGCAACTTGCTCCCTGACCCCAGAACAGGCAGGGAGGCTGTGACAGGAGCAGAAGCAGATCTGCGGCCGCTTTTGTGCTCCAGAAGCTCCTGCAGCCGTGAGGAGCCCAGGAGCCCTGAGGAAGCTCCTGGCCACCCCAGGGGCAGCACAGGTCACCTCCTGAGGCTGCTGGGGGGCAACTTCCACGCCGCATCCCTGGACTTCCTGTGTCCCGGGCCATGTGCCACCCCCAGCAGCCTCAGGGCCGGCAAGGAGCTTCCCCGGGGCCCACAGCCTCCTGGAAGCTGCAGGAGCTTCTGAAGCAGAAAGGCAGCCATGGCTCTGCTCTGGCTCCTGGTGCAGCCTCCCTGCCTGTTCCAGGACCAGGGGGGCTGGGCCATCCCCCCAGGATGATGGCAACCGCCAGGCCACCCATGGGGGCGGGGCAGCCAAGCCTTTGCTGCCCCAAGCCTCAGGCACACGATGCAAGTTCTGCACCACCTTCTTGGGCTTCCTGCATCCCAGGCCACCCCCAGTGGCTCCAGGAGCCCAGCCCCACCACTGCCCCAAGCTTGACAGGCCCTTCCCCGGCAGCCCCCAGCCTCTTGGCGGCAGAAGGAGCCGCTGGAGTGCAAACACAGCCTTGAAGCTTTGGACAGCAAAGGCCTGACTGGCTCCCCCCTTGCAACCCTTTCTGCAAACCCCACAGCCACACTCTCCTCCAGACACAATCACACATCCCACAAATACCACACACACTCCACAGCTCCCCACAAACCCCACATCCACCCACCCACGCATACCATACAAGAGTAAGACTACATTTGAGCTATTATGTAATCACTTCTACATATAAAGCACAAACACACAGGTATCAGGACAAAAATATATTTTTAATTGAATGAAAATATAATATTATGGGTATTTGATTTTTAGTACATAATTTTTTTTTTTCCCGGTTCTAAGATAGCAAACCCTCTTCTCCAAAGGAGTACTTCCAGGGACAAGGGGCGGGACTTCCAGTCCCAGGATGGTGACCAGGGGGCAGGGCACCTGTCAAGGGGTAGGGTTACCCATGCAGCCCTCGACAGCTTGCCAAAACTTGCTAAGCAGCCCTCCGCCCAAAGTAATTGCCCACCCCTGTTATATAATCAGAAAAACCTTGTTTTCACATTTTAGGCTGAGAGCTTATATATGCTTGGGCAGAACACAGAAGTGCTATTTTCCTTGAGAGGTTATATGAAGCCAAAGAGATTTTCTTTAATTATGTAAGATGGGGAAAAAAATATGTTTTAAAGAAACATTCAGGTTTTCTTTGCATATGAGTCACTCAGAATTGTCTGCATCTTTAAGTTAAAAGTCAGAGAAAGGTATTCCACAAAGGTGTTATTTGAATAACAACCCCAACCAGAGTAGTGTAATGTTACAATAGTATAGCACTATAAAATTAGATTCATAGAATGTAGGCTGGAAGGGACCTTGGAAGATCATTGGGTCCAGCCCCCCTGCACCAAGCAGGAAAGACAACTGGGGTCAAGTGACCCCAGCAAGGTGACCATTCAGTCTCCTCTTGAAGTATATATAGAAGAGGAGGAGCAGCAGAAAGTTTTGAGATTAGAACATTACTCATGTGGTGCTTTGTTACCTTTTGTATTGGTTAATATCTACATTCCATATAAAACCTAAATTTAAAAAATGGTAGGGCTGCAAAGCTAAGTATTTAATAATACCAAAGCAAAAACTTTTCTGTGTAATCTTGACTCTGCCCCAAACATACAGATAACAGGAGGTAGAGAACCTCTAGGGACAAAAATTCAAGTTGGTAGACAAGTTGAAAGGTGTACAGTGAATATTTCTCTCCTCACTGTTTAATATGCAGCCCTCTGCTTCAAGCACTGGACATTCAACCACTGCACTACAATGGGGCTGCTGTTGATTGCAATGGAAAACACAGGCCCAGGGACTCAAAGGTGTTAATGTTTTCTTGGCACTGTACACCATTAAACAGTTAATGAAGCTGTGGGGTTGCACACAAACCTTGGCCTGTTTAGTTCCAGTGCAAAAAAGTCAATACATTTTTTTTAGCTTTTCAGTAAAGATTTGTAAAAAGAAGGAAAAAATCAGTTAAAATACCTGACATGTAAAGCATTAAAATAAGTCTTAATATTAACAAAACCTCTAATTCCACCTAATTCCCTTTATCTGTAGAAGGAAAGTGTTCTTACAGGAAATACCCTTGTTTGACAGTCTTTTAGATGGTATTACAGATTAATTGTTGTTTTATAGGCCAAACCTGCTTCCTAGAAGCAGGCAAGGAGAGAAAGGAATGGCAAAGATACAAAATGCAGCTTCTGCTTCTCCTATTTGTAAGCACTGGTCCAGAACAACAGTTCAGTACTTCATCTTATCAACCACTTTGAGGTCTGGCCAAACATGTACCCACTTCAGGACTGCATTTAGTTGCATTTTAGGCCAGAAACTCTCCATCTGCCCTGGGTGGGGTGCTCTGGGGGCCCGGTCTTGTGCATCTCAGGAACTGCTGTCCAGGATCAGGCCCCTTAAGCCCCAGGAGCACCTGCCTGATTTTCCCCACTGCAGGCCCTCTGGGGACTCCAGAGTAATTTCTCCATAAAGAGAAAAAGCTTGTGTTGGTCCTAGAATTCCACCTGGGGAATTCCTGGTGCCCTGTGCATCCATAGTGGAACCCGTGCACCCCATGCTGGGTCCTGGCCAGAGGCATGGGTATCAACAGCAAAGTGCAGGGTGGTGCAGGATCTGGGGAATTCCCAGTGCCCTGGACTTCAATGCCAGGGACAACAGGTGACTTTTTCCAAAAAAAGCAGATAAGGTGTTTTCACCCTTAGTGTGGTCATGGCTCTAGCACAGGAGAGGCTAAGATGTGGCCCGTGGGCCAAATCCAGCCCAGAGGGGCTTTGTCTGGCCTGCAGCGGGTCCCTTGGTCCCACCTGGCCAAGGCGCATCCTACTGCCCCCTGGGCACACAGCGTGGCTGGGGTGGCTCTGCAGCCAGACTGCCTTTCTAGGCAGCCTGGGCGGCAGAGGCTCCTTTA